TGTTCGCAAATAGTTAAGGATGTGGGTTGTTCTAGTTTTAGGGAAATGCGAAGTTTAGCTCAGGATAGGAAAGAGTGGAGGTACGTGTCCAACCAGTCTTAGGACTGATGACCTTATGATGATGATGATACCTTGGCTGTCGAAACGCGTTTTAGGTTTCTAAGTGTTCATTAACTTACTGTAATTACTGTACTTACTCAATTACATTTTGTGTTTGTACAGTTATCAAAATTACATTCAATAAAACAATATTAATCCTTACCACTGTTTAAAATATTCACTGCACTTTATAGTACACTGTATTACTTAAAACTAAATGTAACTTGAATAACATGGTATTCTGCCTTGTTTTTCACAAGATGTGATAAGCTTTTCGAGCGCATGTCAATTGCACCGCTTAAAGGTTGTTCCAAAAAGCTTTTGCAATAATCCTATGCTAACTGAAAGATGTTTTTTAACAACAGTTAGTAAAAAAGAAAACACTTAAGTTATATTTTATCAACTTGTGAATTAACCTCAACATATACGTGTAGATATATATAGTTAACGAAGACTTTTTAGTAGACCTATTTTTATGAATTCGTAGGACGAAAATTGGGCTCCATGAATAGCTTCATTATTTTTTCGGTCTATGTCCACACCCTGAAGCTCCATTCTAAATATTGAATTAAGAATTTTTGAAATCGGAAAAGTAACTGTTACCTGTGAATGTGGAGATTATCTCCTTTATCTAAACTTACAGACTTTATCCCTTCATAATATTAATAATTTTAGACAAATTTTTTGGGAAAATGTTTAAGTGTTTTAATGATATTTTCTGTACAAATATAGTACAAAAATTTAATTCTTTACAGCTTTTGTTTAGGTGTTTAACTGATGCGATTAATGCATTTGGTTTTAACGTTCGGGTGTAATTTACATTTGTCCACTGCCTTTCTCTATTCTTCAAGTTCATCTCAGTGACAATTGTTTCTAACAAACACATCATCTACTCTGGCTTTTGTGGCCACAGACCGTTCCGATTGGATAGCAAACGCGAGTAAAGAAGTGTTATATGTTTACTTAGAACTAGCAAAAAATGTGATGTTTGTTCGTCTCAGGCATGGATATGCATATTATTCACATTCAACCGTTTAAATTTAAGCTAGTTTTGCAAAATTTATTGTAGATACATTTTGTTGATTCTAATAAAATATGAACAACAATTAGTTAAATCTGCAATTACATATGTGATAACAATATATGTTAAAGAGTTCAAGAAAAGCTAATAACTTTTGAATGTAGTAATCGCTAAGTATACAATAATTTAGCTTCTAGTTTTAAGACTTAAAAGGTAAAACAGTTTAGTTCAATATTCCTTGTGATGCTGACAGTATTCCGTGACATTCGATGTCACGCAATCGGTTTTGAATTGTTTTGAAATCGATTTACTATCTTGTCGGAAAATTTATACGTTGATGTGCCTACACAGGGCTTTCAAACAGATGAAAAATTGTAAGCGCAATTTTCACGTATATATAAAAAAACATTTAGAAATAGAACAAAATATACTGTTAGACAATAAAAAACATATCTAGAATAGAAAAATTATTACATTTACTTACCGCTGTTTTCAAAGTTGGACGATAAGAATCTTTAAAATGCATGAACTTCTTTCAATGATTTTAGCTGGTGTCTCAAGTAGTAGTATCATGTTCTTTGCTGTACCTAAGGGATGACCGTATTTAGACTTTTTTTAAGTCTTAAACAAATATTAATTGACGCCAAGAAATCACAGTCGACACATCATCTGGAGTCACTAAACACCACACTATATAGCGTTCCCGGCTTCAACCCCCAAGTCCGTTTAATTCTTTTCGCTTTTCTTACATTACCATTGTTATTAATAGAAGCATTTTAGAGGTATGCTTCTTTTGGATTTTCGTCGCAAAATACTAGCTGTATAGTGTGGTGGTGGTTCAACTTCCAGCAGAAGTGCCGTCATGGGATGCCGTGATGAGCCCGCACAGCCTACCCTGATGCACGCCTATTTGCGTGCTGCACGGACATTGCGTTTTGATCTTCTGGCACGCAAATGACATCGCCAGCGAGACTTCGATTCCGCTTTTTGTCCCCATGTGACCGATCACCACCTGTCACCAACAGTACTCGGTGATTAATTAGGATCATTGTACTTACCTAACTAGTAAATTCTTGACATCAACCTGTTGCACTTTTGAACAATCCCAACAATCCCAGAAACAATCACACGACCTAATAAAACAACCCCAATAGAAGACAAAGTGTAACGGATGGTTGGGTTTTGTAAAAATTTTCTCCAAATCCTTGTTTTTTTTTTGACGTCGAAACATAACATAACATATGTAATTATTCTTAACCGAAAAAAGTATCAGTTTACGTAATTAGAAAACTTTAATATAATACGATAAAAGCCCTAATAACACCAATTTCCATGAAACGTTCGTGCCAGGTCAATTTTGTGGTCTGCGGTTTCTTTTGTCCTCGGCCAATTTCTCGTACTGGTTCTAATTGTAACAAACAAAAAAAAAAAAAGAAGGAGAAAATTAGCGTATTGGGGATCTCGTTCTTCCTCCTGTTTGTATCGGATCTTTGAGGCCTATTCCGCTGAAATAACAGGGGCGTTTTGACGACCCGTGACAGCTAAATGAACCCAAACATCCGATAACCGACCCGCAAGCTTCGGAAAATTATAATATACGTACGAATAATAATTGTACGGTACCAATTCACCGTCAGGCCTAATGAAAGGGAAAAAATGGACTTTTACAGAAAAAGATTAAAAGATTAAAACAGAAACGTGTTTCTGGAAAAAAATACGTTTTCTATTATTATTAGAGATATGGTCAAAGAAAATGAATTTCCGCGTTCGGAAAATTAACTATGAAAGTCACAGGTTTATAAAGTTGAATATTTTCCCCAATATTAGAGATTTTCCAAAATCATTTTCCATAGGACCCAGGATTCTCTTGTTGTTTTTCTTTTTTCTTTGGAAAGCCCAGCAAATACTACCATCAGTTCTCAGAGCGTATATCTGTAATATGAGTTGNAAGTTTCATCATCTTACCCACCATATCCAACAGGAAGTGTCCTGTACCTTTTTGTTAAAATTAAACAATAATAAATTTTGTAAATAACCAATGGAAATAACAATAATGCAGAAAACACTTACAAGTATAAATTTCTTTTATGGTAACGTAAGTAATCATTAATTTATTTAAATAAGGAATATGGCATGCACAAAAACGTTTTCTGTTAATAATTTCCAAGATTATTAGAGAACGGTTATCATTAAAAATGGCTGTTGTAAATTAACCGATACGGTGTCCTTTAAAGGACTTAATTATCACATTAAGAACCGCATAAAAATATGTATCGAAAAACATCTTGCAATTATTTTAATTATTGTTTCATATGTCATATCGCGGTTACACTTATTACGCATTCATTTGTACGAAAACAGGTGTAACTGTCGCGTTTTTTAAGCGGTAATTTTTCGCAGAATATGTGGACGCGCGCCCTGCCAATTAATAAATTCCTATCCGGAAATGATTTTTGCACCGCCGATACTGCAGCTGTACGCGTTTCTTAACAAGTCGATAAAGAAAAATTATTTATCTGATGCTAAGGCAACCAGGTAACAGAGCCGTCTAATTAAACCATTTTTTTCCTTATTAAGACTTTTCACCCTATCTATATAGACGTATGTAGGGATAAACGAATTTGCTACTTTTTTTGAATGAGTTTAATTTTCGTTGATTATATGAACGATTACAATACCCATAGCTGATACAAGAACCGAAGTTAATCAACGATATACATGCATAATATACATCAAGATAAAAAAAAAAGTTATATAATACATATGAGTTGAGCATATATATATATAGCGATTTCGGTAATACTTATTTATTTATAACATGCAAGTCATTGCAATTAAATTAAATGGGCAGATAAAATAATGATAATTTTTAGAGTTTATTACTGTGAAGTTTTTTGTGATTAATCGATTCTGTTATATGTATAGGAAATTTAAATATCTATACTAGAAAATTAGGTATAGTCGATTTTGTTTGATTTTGTCAACCAATTTATTAGCAATAAGTTTCAAAGAGATTGGAAATTTCAGTTGTTTAAATATTGTAGATATATTCTGTAAGTCAATAAAGAAATAGGTGAGATAGGCTGGTAAGACAAGGACAATTGGAAGAAAAACTGCATTTAGGAGAAGTAGACGTAAACCAAAATTAGATTACTTTTCACAAATGGTTAAGGATGTGGGATGTTCCAGTTTTAAGGAAATCCGAAGATTAGCGAAGATTAGAAATGGAGGTAGGTGTCCAATCAGTCTTAGGACTGACGACCTTATGATGATGATGATATATTTTGTATGATTTTTTTAAAATTACAATTTACGGGGATGTCAACAGAGTAGATACGTATAGAAACGAAGTCATGAAGTATTAACAATATTCATATATTTCCCCACCAGAAATTCAAAGACGCATTTCGATATAGAAAATGTATAAGAAAGTTTCTCTATCTGTCGGTGAAATATAAGAGTGGTCTATATTAGGAATAAAGATGATAAAAAAGTCGCTTTTTAATTTTTAAGCATTTATTATTAGAAGTAGTACAATTAATTTTAGATAACATCAACCCTTCGAATTTTGCAAATAAGAAAAGTACAAAGCATTCCATAATCGTTTATTTTTATTGTTTTAAAATGGCTTTTACAAGAGAGATTGTATTCCTATCTGTTAAATAAAAAGATGTGCTTTTTAAGTTAGAATATGCTTTATTTGTCACTTATATTATTGAAGCGTATTATAAACATAACAATTAGTTCTAATACCAGAGAATCATTTCCAGGTATAAGAATATACTTAATATAAAACATCTAGGTCTATATCTATAAAATTAAAAATCTATGTGCAGAAACTTTATTTAGTTTCAATAACAAACTTACAAACTAAGAAAAAACAAAGACGGGGAAACGCGGTCTGTGGACTCTCTTCAGTATTAAAAAGGATTCTTGGTCGGTGAAACCAGTTATTTATAAAAACGACCGTCATTATAATAATTGCACAATTAACTATTAGTGGACGAAACAGCAAAAGGATAGAGATTGGAGAATTACGAATAAATGGTGTAGCACACGGAGATAATGAGGGGCCTGTCTTGTTAAATTGTCACATGCTGTCAGATAAGGACAGGCTGTCGCTATTTTCCTTCGACAGCGAAATTTAAAAAGCACTACCTCCAGGGATAGCAAGCTCAAAATAGGGCCTTCTCTTTTTTGAGAATATAAAAGCCTACATATGAAATTTCTCAATTTCCAGAAGCCAACAAAAGTTTTTCAAAATTAAAAACGATTTTTTAATATTATTATTATTTTTTTATAGTCCTTTCTCCAGAAATCCTGATCGTGAAAACGCTTCCGGAAACTGAGCTTTCCCAAGAAGTGTCTTAGGCACCGTGGATTATGGTAGACAAATGGTTTCGTGGAAATAATGCCAACATTACAAGCGTTAATAATAATTGTAATTTTTGTTGTCCTTTTGTCGGAAAGGACAAAGAGTGTGCCGATTCTTGTCGGCGACGGAGGCGGAGCCTTGGTACAATGTAAAAGCCGGCCAATGAGAAGCCAACGGAACCTAGCGAATCCACCATGCTAGGAAATTGCTTTTTATTACCGACTAAATTGCTTTACAGGCAGCCATTTTGAAAATGCACTTCTTCGACAAAAGCATAACGATAATTGTCAATTAAAAATAATTGGGAAAGATTGACAGAAGTTTGCGGAAAAATGTCCTAGTAATTGGAATAATTCGAAAGCGGAAAAACACTTGCTTAATCCTAGAATGTACCGTGTGTTATTTTTGATCAAAAATTTTCAAAAATCGTGTGTAATATAGCGCAAAATAAAAGTTACAAAGGGATTTAAACGTAGAAAGACACCATAAATCAGAAAAAGACGCACATGATACAAATAATTCTCATTTAGAACAAAGAAAATTTTGATTATATTAAACGTATTTTATTCATTTTAATCCTTATTTAATTCTCCTGGATCGCAAGGATTAGGTATTCGCAAGGGGGTTAATAAAATATTGAACATCATTCTTGCTTTACAGTTCAAAAGCTAGAATAATGTAGAACTAATATTTCTTAAAACTGTATTAGAAATTTCTCATACATTTAGCTATAAATTATCTTTAAACAATTCAATATATACAAGGTGTAGCATTAAAATATTGAAAAGCCTCTTTGTTACCTACAATAAATACATACAAAAGTTCCTATAGGAAACTGTTTTCATGTTGAAATTGTTACAGGAATAAGGAGCAGTTTTTATTAACACTTAAACATTAGCTACAGCACTGCGTTTGTGTTCAAAATAGTATTCTATGTTTGTTGAAATTGTATATAAAAGTTGAACCAAGTTACTAACAGCAGCATCACACGGAGAAAACTAAATATTTATGACAGTACAAAAATTACAATTTTCGAATGTAAATAAATGAATTTGCCTTAGAAAAAGGTAACTTGTAATAATTTCAATATTGACATGTTTTTTTGAAGATTATTTCAAGTTTTTTAATTATTACAATTTAATTTGTAATTTCAACTAAAATCCCTAGTAAATTTATTTCTGCTGGGATTTTATTTTTACAAATGCGGGACCAAATTGTAATTTTTATTATTTTCGCTTACGAAGCAACGGGCTAGTGGGATAGATTATAAATATCGCTTTAATATCTGGGTAACTTTTCCTTTTTCATTTTCTCCGTGCAGACACAATACAAATACATAAAGAAGATCGATTTAGTATCTAAAAACCATTTACCACGTCGAAGTCGAAATGAAAATTATGTCAATTACAGCTGTAGGTAAACATTTGAATTCAAAAATCCAAAACTGATGATGTTCAATCTCTGTTGCATCAAGAAAACTTCAAATTCATCTTCGTCATAACTGAAGATTCCCCATACACTACAAAGTTTAAAGTTAAACTTATTATAAGTATGTGTGTTTTAAAATTAATTGGTAGTCTTACCTTTCATATTTATTGTTTTACTGCAATGATGAAGGACAAATCATTTATTATCTGAACCGATACAGCACATTATTGGTATAAACGCAAAATGGATGCAGAAAATATTAACGCACATTATGAACATCAGTGGAATTACACATATTACGATAAATAAAAGAATTAATAATAATTCTAACTTAGGGTTGACGTAGTTTCATGTCGTATTATAAGCATGTATAGGTAAGAAGAAAACAAAGTTCCTATTATGATCGAGCAGATTGAAATTCAAAAATTAATAATTTAAAACATTGTTTTGCTTGTTAAACAAAACAATAATCTATTAAACAAAACACGAACACATAATTTTTTAAACTTCTTATCTTTTTTTTAAATAATTTACATATTCAACTTCAACATATTTGTAAATCCACACGAAATGGAAACGTATTCTAGTAGCAAAATGCATTAAATGTATGCAAATAATTCATTTTATCATTAAACTTTAATGCATTTACTTATAAGCATTTCAGTTTCTTTGTATATACAGAGATTTCTAGCCATAACTTTAAAAGCTTGTCAAGTTTCCGTGACTATGCTAGTTCACGATATGAAAATGCACGCAAAAATTGACCCCAACAGTATGGAATATTAGACCTTAATATGAACAAAAGAATCAAGGTAAAAGATGGTCATAATGTCTTTATTGGTTATAGAACCGACACCAACGTTTCGCCTCTTGTTGGGAGGTTTTATCAAGGTAGGTTCTTTTAGTTAGTTTTGTTCACATTACAACCAGGGGAAGAAATAGGGAATTACTTAGACCTTAATGTTGATCATTAGGTACAAAAACATCTATAAGTATACACTCAAAATCTGTATAAACACATTAATAAACAAATGTTCCTTATCTAGATAGACACAAGAACCATGAAAAGGTAACATTTAAATAATAAGAAATTGTAGACTTGTACATACAATTAAATGAATACTTAGAAACCCAAAACTTTACAAAACTGTTAAACTGAGTCTGGTTTATAATTGAGGATGATACCTTGGCTTGAGGCATGAAGGTCTAGTCAGAGACATATTAGAGGCAGAAACAGGAGTTAGGAGGGGTAGAGGTAGACCAAGATTAGAATACTGTTCGCAAATAGTTAAGGATGTGGGTTGTTCTAGTTTTAGGGAAATGCGAAGTTTAGCTCAGGATAGGAAAGAGTGGAGGTACGTGTCCAACCAGTCTTAGGACT